ATTAACATTTTGCAGATTCTACTTTTGACCTCAACTGTATTTAAAAGGTGTTTCTTGCAACATTGTACTACGTTTATTTTCACCAAAAACAGAATGCTTTTTGAATGTATATTTTTAATATTGTTATAATAGCATTATAGCGTTAAAATGTCCAGTTTGCTTGTGACTGTGATTATAACATAAGGCTACAAAACGTTTCTTAGAGCATTCATCAAGTACAAATAACATCATGAGGACGTTCAGAGAATGCTGATCCCTGAATAATTTCTCTCGACATTCAGAACATGAATCAAATTTTAAGTTATGAAGTTATAAGAAATTCATAAACATTACTTTAAGTTGTGAGAATTTTCCCTGTTACCTGGGCTTGAACAGCTCAAACATAGCTTACAAGGAACATTCGCACAACCTTTTGGCAAGGTTCTCTCAACGTTATGAACAAACGTTCATAGAATGTGTTAATAGAGCATTTGTTTAAAGTTATGTGGTGTTTAATAATGTTCTCGAAATGTTAGCACAAAAACATTATTGTTCATTAAATGTTTTATTTCTGAAACACTTCATTTGGATGTTCATTTGTTTTATGAAATGTTACTACTTGTTTTAAAATGTTCCGAGAACATTCAAAAATAGCATTCCCATAATGTTTGCATGTTCCCTTAACATTAGTATAACCAAGAAAAAATATATTTAAAAAACTGGATCTTTTGAACATTCTTAAACATTCTTTTTGTTAGCTGGGGAGTTTATAATGTTTTCAAACGTTATTTATACATCACACAAGGAACGTTTTATTTCTAAGACATTTTAGTTGGATGTTCATCTAACGTTTTTTTAAACATTGCTACTTGTTTCAGATCATTCAGAGAACATTCAAAAAGTAACGTTCCCATAATGTTTGCAAAATGATGCAATGAAATGTTCCCTTTACATTTGCATAACCAAGAAAAAGCATTTGCAAAACATTTAAAAAACTGAACATCTCGAGCATTCAGAAATAAAATTTTATAATGTTAGCGTTATGTTCTTAGAACATTTTTTTTTAGCTGGGTAGTTATCGTTTTTTTTTTGCACAACGCTAGCACAAAAACTATTATTTACTGTATATATCATAGAACGTTTTATTTCTGAAACATTTTAGTTGCTAATGTTTCTAAAATGTTACTTGTTTCAGAACGTTCAGAGAACATTCAAAAGTAACGTTCCCATAATGTTTGCAAAATGATACAATGGAATGTTCCCTTAACGTTCAAATAAAAAGCATTTCTGAACCATTTAAAAAGCTGGACGTTTTTGATATTCAGAACTAATGTTTTCATAACTTAATGGGAATGTTAGCAAAATATATATTTTTTGTCAGCAGGGAATTAGTGTACAGCCAATCATATAACGGCAAACGGGTTTGGAGCGACATGAGAATGACTGAGCGCACTGAATGTTTGCCGGGTTGAAAGGCAGAGGTTTCGAGTCGTGCCAGCGTGATTAGCTTTGGTTTGAATGTGTTCGGCGGAGCAGCTGTAGATGTGTGGAAACAGACACGTTCTACAGCCTCAAACTCTGCTCTCTTCGACAACACACATGCTTCCAGATCACGGGAGATCCGTCGTGCTGCTTTATTTGTGGTTCAGTGAGTGTTGGCTGGGAAAAATGGGATGCAAAATAACAGAAATATGGCTCGCTCTGAGCCACTCAATAGCACATTCACAGCGGTGTTTCGGAGGGGAAGTAGCGACTGCGGCGCGGCCCGCTCAGAATACACACGCTTTGCCAACTAATGCAGCCAGATGGTTGGCAAACAACACCAGCGACACAGACTCAATAAAGAGGCTGATGGGAAGGTCATTTGATATGCAGAGAGTGTTAAATTAAACACCAACAAGACGGGTCATTTGTCCTTGACCCGTGAGCTTTAGTGCGTTATGATTATATGAATACATTCAATGCATTATATTAGACCTGCTAACAGGGAATGTTCTCAGAACGTTCTGGCAATGTTGCTTAATAGAACGTTCTTTCCAAGTAATTTGGTCTTTAATGTTTGCAAAACGTTAGCACAAAACCATTATTTACGCATTTCCTTCTAAAACATTTTAGTTGGATGCTCGCCTAATGTTTTTTAAATGTTACTAAAAACTGGACATTTTTAATGTTCATAGAACATTGAGAAATAGCATTTTGAAAACATACTTAGAACATATTTTGTTAGCTGGGAAGTTATCTAATGCTCTCAAATGTTAGCACAATAACGTTATTTTCACATCGTTCGTGGAATGTTTTATTTCTTAAACATTTTAGTTAGACGTTCATCTAAAGTTTTTTTAATGTTACTAATTGTTTCAGAACGTTTAGAGAACATTCAAAAGGAACTTTCCCATAATGTTTGCAAAATTCTACAATTAAATGTTCCCTTGAAATTTGTATAACCAAGAAAAAACATTTGCAACTTACAAAACTGAACATTTTGAGCATTCAGAAAACATTCAGAAATAACATTTTATAATGTTAGTGATACGTTCTTAGAACATATTTTTGTTACCTGGGTAGTTATCTGGGGTTTTTAATGTTAGCACAAAAACGTTATTTATACATCATTAATGAAACAAATTTTCCTGAAGCGTTTTAGTTGGATGTTCATGTAACGTTTAAATGTTACTTGTTTCAGAACGTTCAGAGAACATTCAAAAGTAACATTCCCATAATGTTTGTGAAATGATACAATGGAACGTTCTCCTGACATTCACATTAAAAAAAAAATGTTTCTGGACCATTTAAAAAAAACTGGACATTTTTAACGTTCAGAGAACATTCAGAAGAAACATTCTCATAACTTCATGGGAACGTTTTTAGAACATCTTTCAACTTACAAAACTGAACATTTTGAGCATTCAGAAAACATTCAGAAATAACATTTTATAATGTTAGTGATACGTTCTTAGAACATATTTTTGTTACCTGGGTAGTTATCTGGGGTTTTTAATGTTAGCACAAAAACGTTATTTATACATCATTAATGAAACAAATTTTCCTGAAGCGTTTTAGTTGGATGTTCATGTAACGTTTAAATGTTACTTGTTTCAGAACGTTCAGAGAACATTCAAAAGTAACATTCCCGCAATGTTTGCAAAATGATACAATGTTCCCTTAACATCTGCATTAAAAAAAATGTCTAAAACATAAAAAAAAAAAAACGTTCAGAGTACACTCAGAAATAGCATTTTGATAGCATGGGAACGGTAGGAAAACGCTTTTAGAACATATTTTAGCGGGGACGAGGCATTGTGTCATTTTTGCGAACACTGTCACGTGCATTTGCTCACTCAGTGGCAGCATGTCATTATTTAAAGCTGTGGCCTTTATATGTGACGAAGATGAATCGGCACGCATGTTCCTGTTGTTTATTTCATGCATTTTATAGTTTAGCACGCTCCCTTTTTCATTGCTCTTCCATACTGTCAGATGTCAGGTGTCACCCTCATCCTTCACTTTTATTGCCTGTTTGTACATGAGGTCTCTCTCCAGCCAGCTCCTCTATTGTCTGCATGACAGTCTAATGATGCCGACTCTCTCATGATCACAGGCCTGATGCACGGCAGGTTATTATCGCATGCATTCTCAGCACGCTGCTTTGAAAGGCTCATCACCCGTGACGACGTTCAGAAGAGACGTGCATTTCCAAGGTTACAAATGACAGAAGCGACAAGAACCAATCTGCTGATATTTGAGTGCATGTTAGTAACAACCCTGTAAAGAGGAGCAACAGAAACCAAGAGACAATGCTCCGATTTCTCTGTAAACACACACATAATTAAACATCCTCAATCAAACATCTTTGCAAAGAAGCATTCTAATGAAAACCGTAGCTGGTATGAAATGTAACACGAGCAGAGCCGAGCGAATCGATGCGTCGTGTCTCTCCTGGTGTGGCATCTGTGTTGATGCTCTTTGTCTCTGCTCGGTCTTTGGAGACATCAGACTAATTCTAATGAGTATCTGGACGTCAGAGGAGTCTTTCATCTCACCAAACACACAGATGAAAGGATCAACATTATCATATCAAAAACAGCGCATCAGTGGAGCCTGAGCTTTAAGACATGTCCCCAGAAAGCTTCTGGAGCCATCAGATTCTCTGACGTGATGGTTGAAAAATGGTTATTTGCACAGGATTATTTGGTTTGTTGTATTAAAGATAGCAGAAAAAAATATAATTAGGGTTTTGTAGCTTTTAGCCCATGTGTGTTCTGACGTCATCTGTTGTGCTCCTAAACAATAAAGCTTCTAGCATTTATTTAGGCACTATTAATAAATATCAATGACTCATCTTGCATGCAAGGTCATGCACACATTTTTGTCGTAGTCTGTACACTGCCATTTAGAAGTTTGGTGTCGGTAAGATTTTTAAATGTTTTTAAAAGTCTCTTCTGTCCACAAGGCTGCATTTATTTGATAAAAACTGTGAAATATTATTAGAATTTAAAACAGCTGTTTTCTATGTGAATATCTGTTAAACTGTAATGTATTTCTGTGATGCGCAGCTGTATTTTCAGCATCATTACTCCAGTCTTCAGTGTCACATGATCTTCACAAATCATTCTAATATGCTGATTTGCTGCTCGAGAAACATTTCTGATTATTATCAATGTTGAACACAGTTGTGCTGCACAATATTTCTGTGGAAACTGTCGATTCACAGATGAATAGAAAGCTCAAAAGAACACTGTTCATGTGAAATCTTTTGTAACATTATAAATGTCACTTCTGATCAATTTAATGCGCCCTAAAAGTGCTAATTTCTTTCACCGCTCTTGACCTGCTACCGATAATGAGAATCGCCTCTGTTTGCTTTCTCCGCAGGTTGTTTAACTAATACCCGGAACCCAGATGGAGACGCTACTGGTTTATTTGATGGTTGTTGTATTGGCATTAAAGGCCCAGAAGATCCAAGTATGTCCCAAGCGCTGCATTTGCCAGGTTTTGTCCCCCAATCTGGCCACCTTGTGTGATATGACACCAGTATGGTCCGAGAGCCGAACCCGGGGTCGTCTGACATCGCCACTTCTGCCAAGACGGGCGGAGACGGAGGCTCCTCGATGGGCAACAAGGGAGGACAGGAGAAGAGGGTCCTGATCTCTGAGATCACCGCATCCACGGCTCTGGTGAAATTCAACTTTCAGAGGAATATTCCAGGGATTCGGATGTTCCAGGTCCAATACAATGGCACTTACGACGACTCGTTAGTGTACAGGTGAGCCTGTTTGGTTTTAAACACCTTTAAATATTCCAGCATTTCAGAGAGCAGTGCACAGATCGATGAATAAAACACTGAAATAAATTACACATTAAAAAAAAAATTCAATTAATTTATCAATTATGAAGCAGCGTTCAACTGTAAAGTAGCTCTACAGAAGACAATAGTGTCGTTATTCAGCTCAACTCAGTTAACAGGGACAGGGCAACACTCTTGCTGTAGCATTAATAGAACGTCTGTTCAATGTTATCTGATCGTTAATTTTAAAATGTAAATGTATCGTTAATGTATCATTCATGGAACGTTTTAGTTGGATGTCCGTCTAACATTTTTTAAATGTTACTACTTTATTTCAGAACATTCTAAGAACATTCGAAAGTAACGTTCCCATTATGCTTGCAAAATGATACAATGAAATAACGTTCATATAACCAAGAAAAAAAAAAATTTCTAAAACAATTTTTAAAAAACTGGACATTTTGAGCATTCAGAAAACCTTTAGAATTAACTTTTTTTTTTTTTTTAAACGTAAGCAAAATGTTCTGGCAGGCAATGTTCAATGGTCACATTTAAAAAAAAATTCAATTAATTGATCAATTATGAAGCAACTTTCAGCTGTAAAGTAGCTCTTCAGAAGACAATAGTGTCGTTATTCAGTTCAATTGAGTTAACAGGGAATGTTCTGAGAACGTTCTTGCTGTAACATTAATGGAACATTTGTTCAGAGATATCTGGTCTTTAATGTTTTCAAAATGTTAGCACAAAAACGTATCGTTCATGGAACGTTTTTCGTGAAACATTTTAGTCAGGCATCTAACACTTTTTAAATGTTATTACTTATTTCAGAACATTCAAAATTAACATTCCCATAATGTTTGCAACATGATACAGTGGAATGTTCCCTTAACGTTCATATAACAAAAAAAAAAACATATATTTTCTAAACATTCAACATTTAATTTAACACTTCTAAAACATAAAAAAAGAAACCTGGACGTTTTGAGTGTTCAGAGAACCTTTAAATAACGTTTTTATAAACTTAAGCAAAACATTCTGGCAATGTTCTCTCAAAATGATTAACAAACGCTCTTGAAGTAACGTTAATGGAATGCTCATTTAAAATTATCTGGTTTTTAATAATGTTCTCAAAACATTAGCACAAAAACATTACTTATAATGTTCATGGAACGCTTTTTCCTGGACGTTCGTCTAACATTTTTTTAAATGTTGCTACTTGTTTCAGAATATTCAAAAGTAACATGATTTGTAAAATGATACAATAGAATGATCCCTTAATGTTCACATAACCAAGAAACAACATCAGAACAGAACATCATATTCAGAACATTTTATGGGAACATTAGCTGGGTGCAAGTTTTGTTCTCATCCGATAGTGTCAGTGCAGTCAGATCGATAATGTTACTCAATATTAATTGTCCTACAAGACAAAAACAAGAGCAGAGTGTGTCGTGCTAAAGCTTCTTCACACACGTTCGAGTCGTGAACGGCAGGTTTGTGATGTGTATCGCTCCTTCCCTCTTCCCGAGCTGCTCAGCTGGCCCTACAGACTATAAAAATGATGGTGGAGGACAGAAGAAAGTGTCATCTAAACGGTCTGGAGGGGTTCAGTGGCTCATGAAGGGAGATTTGGCTGCGGCTCTGAGTCTCATTTACAGCAGCTGGGAACCAGAGGCTTTACAGCTGTGCGACAACTGCAGATGAGCTTCACAAAATCCCCACCCAGATGATGAGTAGGGCTGGGAATACTTTTTAAATAACGAAGCCATATAAAGTTTGATTCCGTTAGTGTTTCTTGCACATGCATTTTTCTATCTGCATGAACAGAAAACCATACTAAAATGATGCTTCTTAATTTACTGTACACTGGCACACAATCACAGTATTGAATGAGTCTTATGAATCAAACCCATACAGAGCAACCAATGCAATCTGATTCCCAAACGAATGAGTCGTATGAATCGGCTCTTTTTAGTGAATCAAACACATACAGAGCAACCAGTGCAATCTGATTCCCAAACGAATGAGTCTTATGAACCGGCTCTATTTAGTCAATCAAAACAATACAGTGCAAACATTGCAATCTAAATCCAAAAAAAAAAAAAAAAAAGACTCTTGAGTCGATTTGTTTTAGTGACTCAGAACAATACAATGTGGCCACTGTAGCCAGTTATTTTTGGTGAATAAAACAACTTAGTGTTATCCTGTGAGACTTAGTTATTGATTGGTTGTTCACAATAGCATGAAAAGACAAATGGAAGGGAACACAAATAAATTCATCAAAATGAAGTGAGTTTATGAGTAGTTAATCTTCCCTTTAAAGAGAAAACAAGCTGACGGATGTTTGTTCTTGTTTTAAGCGTAAACTCACTTCCTATTGACAAATTTCTCAGAAAACAAGACTTCATATCGCACAACATTTTGCTTCATAAGTAAATACAGTATATCTTATTTTAAGAGTGTTAAGATTATCTTGTACTGGTAAATACAAAAAGTAAGATCCCACATTATAAATCACAACAAGAAAACTGGACATTTTAGTGTTTTATACTATTAAAAATAAACGTTCAAGCACATTTTGGGAAAGAATATAGTTAGTAGAACGTTGTAAGAAACGTTTTTGTAAACTTTTAATAACATTATAAATCACAACAAGAAAACTGGACATTTTAGTGTTTAATACTGTTAAAAATAAAGGTTCAAACACGTTATATTTCGGAAAACAATACAGTTAGTAGAATGTTGTTAGAAACATTTTTGTAACATTTAAATAGTGTTAGAATCATGACAAAAAACTGGACATGCCAACGTTCAAACAATGCTCCTACATTTTAATAACTTACATTTGTTCCCTGGGAATCATTTTTGCAATGTGTTGCATTTGCAATTGCATTTCTTTTCTTCCTCAAAGGGACTAAAAGAGGTTCCTTCCCATTACAATGTATCACTAATGGGATCAAATGTGACCCTGGAGCACAAAACCAGTCATAAGTGTCAGTTTTCTGAAATTGAGATTTATGCATCATCTGAAAGCTGAATAAATCAGATTTGTTAGGATAGGACAATATTTGTCTGAGATACAACTATTTGAAAATCTGGAATCTGAGGGTGCAAAAAAATCTAAATATTGAGAAAATCATCTTTAAAGTTGTTCAAATGAAGTTCTTAGCAATGCATATTACTAATCAGACATTAAGTTTTGATATATTTACGGTAGGAGATTTACAAAATATCTTCATGGAACATGATCTTTACTTAATATCCTAATGATTTTTGGCATAAAAGAAAAATGTATAATTTTGACCCATACAATGTATTGTTGGCTATTGCTACAAATATACCCCAGCGACTTAACACTGCTTTTGTGCTCCAGGGTCACATATGATGAATAACAGCTGATTAATTATGTTCTGAATGATGCACGTTGATTGGTTCTAGCAGTGTTTCTGACTGCATGTCTGCTGATGGCGGTTTCTTGCAGAATGATTCCTCCGACCAGTAAAAGCATCACGGTCAAAAACCTGGCAGCAGGAACCACGTACGATCTGTGCGTTCTGGCCATTTACGACGACGCCATGACCGCGCTCACGGCCACACGCGTGGTGGGCTGCGTTCACTTCTCCACCGAGCCGCAGTATCTGCGCTGCCACTTCATGCAGTCACAGTTCCTCGGCGGCACCATCGTGGTCATCATCGGCGGCGTGATCGTGGCGTCCGTCCTGGCCTTCATCATCTTCCTCATCGTGCGCTACCGGCTGTGCCAGCAGGAGGGCGCGGATAAAGGCCTGGAGCTGGGAGACGTGCGCTCACTGTCCGAGCATCAGGTCTGTGCAATTATCAACATTTCTAAAAAAATGCATAGCTTTTAGTAAGGGAATGGTATGGAATAAAATCACTGTCAAAAATAATCGTACGTAATTCAAAGCATTTGTGTGTCATTTTAATTTACTCGTGCGTAATTTAAAAGTATTGTATGTAATTCTGTTTTTTGTCAGAGTTGGATTCCAAAATCTACGGCCACGACAGTTTACAGATACGAGATTTTGTGTGTTTGTTACGAGTACAACTCCAAAATGTACGACTATGACAGTTTACAGACACAACGCTTGTTTTCACAACAGCTCTGTTACACGCACGACATGCGAATTGCGACCACGAAGTGCGGTGTGCGAAACGACTGTCAAGAAATTACAGTAACTGGCAGCAGTTCGCTCGTAGCTTACTGTAATTTTATTTTTGTAGCAAAAATACTGTATTTTATTTTACCATGTCATTTAACTTGTTGTAAATGTATTTACAGTGTAATGTTGTTTAACTGTAAAATATTTTATTATTGTATTCATTTTTTGGTCCTTTCTTGAGTAATGCATTTTAAAACAATAGAAAACATACTGTTATACTGTAAAGTTCACTGTAATTGGTTTGCTTCACTTTTCAGTTACTGTAAAACTATATGCACAAATTGTAAAATTAGCAGTTCCATTAAAATAACAATAGAAACAACTGTGTAACTTCATATTTTTAATTTTCCCAATGCCCCCTAGTGTAGGAATACATATCTACAGTGTAGATATGAATTTACAGTTTATTTTAATAAATATCAAAAATCTAAAAGGTGTGCATTATAACTGAGAACTACATGAACACTTCACAGTTGGTTGTGTTACTGTAAGTAATTTTCCTCAAATGCTATTGAAGTTAGAAAAGTGTATACCAATGTCGTATGTAACTTTAGATACGGTCCCTAGATTTGCGAATATCAAATGCCGGGAAATGACACCTCTGGCCATTCCGTTGGGTCGTTTGTAAAGTCACAGATACTGTACGGACAATACGGCTCAATTTTTTCTATGTATCTTGCTCTGTTGAACGGCAAAAGTGACTTTACTAGGCTAGGTTTACTAGGTTTACAAGCGAGGTGAGCCGCCTGGCTGGCTGGTGCAGAGACAACAATCTCTCTCTGAATGTGGAGAATGTGGAGAAGATTGTTGTTGATTTCAGGAGAGTGCGCACTCAGCATGCTCCTCTGACCGTCAATGGTGCGACTGTGGAGAGAGTGAGCAGCACCAAGTTCCTGGGTGTGCACATCACAGAGGACCTCTCCTGGACTGACAACACCACAGCACTGGCCAAGAAAGCACAGCAGCGTCTCTACTTCCTCCGCAAACTGAGAAG